AGAGAGAGAGAGAGAGAGAGTGATAAATAAACTTTGAACTCTATGTAAGAAAGAACCATATTACAAAAAGAGAAGATTTTAATGGTGCACAGTTAAATAAGACGACTCCCAGACAAACAAAATTAAAACATATATTTCATTTAAATGACTGACCCTTGGTGCCAATACCTGAGGAACTAGAAATAGAAGATGGGGAAAGACAGGATGGCTTCCCAACACAGATACCAAACACTGGAAATGAACCTGCACATTTGTCTGGGAAAACAGCCTGCAATTCCCCAATTACCAATGACAAAAGCATCAGATCACCCATCTATTGCTAGCCTTTCTAATAGCGAAACAAAGTATTCCAATGTTGGAATTTTGTCAAAGCAAAGATAGTAATAGGCTGAATGAACAGTAACAATGACGACAATTAACAACCTTTTAATAATTGACAACTACAATTTTTTTTTATGATAATTGACAACAATTAACGATTTTTTTCGACAGTCAAAAAGTTAACAGTTGAAGATTATCAAATGAAAAAAAATGTCATAAGTCTCTTTACCTTTGGGGGTTTCCTTTGGTTTTTGGCCACATCCACCAGTTTGGAACTCTTCTTCCAACTATGAGATGACTCAGCATCTTCTGGTCCATCATTATTAGCACAGTGATGCAACTTTTCATAAGCATTCTGATTCTTCACATTTTTTGAACCCTGAATGTATCCAGAATCACGCAGTAGATCATCTGTGTCACCTTGGCTTTCTTCGCCATCAATGGAAGGGCTCTCTATCAAACATGACAAATTCAAATTGATGACCAGTATTAGTTTTTTGGGAGTGCAAGAGAGTTTCCTTTCTTTATTTGTTGGGGAAAATTTTTGTTAGGAATCACTTTAATGAGGTAAGGAAAAGAAAAAAAAGGCACACTGTTCTTTGGAATAATGTTTTTCCTAAACTATCTCTGAAAGATAAAGTTATAGGGTTCTCAAAGGAGGCTCCAATGCAGGCATAAAGGATTCTGGAAGAAATACTCAAAAGTCCTAAAAACTTTTATAGTTTTAGCGACATAAACTGGGGCTTTGTTGGACCTTTGGCGTATCCTCAGTACTAATTACAAGCCTAAGGGAGTATTGAGAATGCAAGTCTCAAAATTTAGAGGCATTCTTTATGTTCCAAGCTACACTGATTTTACCCCAAAAAAGTTCTTTATGTTCTAAGAATCATCTAATGTTTTTCATTTAGAGTAACTGAATCCCAATTATCATCTTTCAATCTTTCATAATACAACTTATTCTATCAATTCAATGGTGGTTTGATCAACACATTCAAAACCAATCAAGTCACGATACCCTCAAAATTAATCTACATTCCTAACAGCTACAAGTGTAGAATATAGACTAAGCTACTCTGCAATTTCAGAATACAAAATAAGGAAAAGGAATTCATCAAGCAAGCGAGAAATGGTACCATTTGCATAGCTCGATAAAATAAAATTTGTAGATAAATTGCGCTCAAATTCTCCAATAATTGAGGCAATGGAACCGACCTGAATGCTTTCTGTAACAAGATTTGCATTTTGGGCACGATCGGTTCCCATCTTTCCTCACAAATTCAAAGCACACTCTACAAATGGGGAATTCACAGCTATCGCAAGCCACAAAGGGACCCCCATTTTTCTGATACCCCACAAAACTCTCACATACTCTGCAAATTTCACCGTAGGTCTGGTCTGTAAATCTTGCCTGTGAGCATATACAAAGGAAACCAAAGTTACATCACAAATAATCATAGGGAATAATTCCAAGAAGAAACCAATGTACCCTCTCGTTTAACTCTCTCTCACCGATGGCTCCATGAGCAGGTGGAATGGAGAAGACTGGGTCTTGTTTTGGGGTTTTTTTCGTGCTGTGTTTTAGGGTTTTGTGGAGCTAGTGGTGCTCTTTGAGGACATGCTTGAGTGTGGTAGGAGGAGGAAGAAGAAGGTGCAGGGATTTCGGCCATCTGATCCATAGGAGAAAGAGGAGGATCCGCTCTCACACAAAGACTCTCTCTCTCATTCTCACTCTCTCTAAATCGACTCGGTCTCCATCCCACAAAAAGAGCCCCTCCTTTGAAACCCTCTCCACAATTTACGCGCGCTCTCTCTCTCTCTCTCTCTCTAAACATGGACATGGAGCTTTCTCTTTCTAGAGAGAGGAACGATTTTGCGTAGAACACTAGAATCGAACAGTTTTAACAGAGCACGTATATTATGCTCCAAGCGTATATTATGCTCGCTTGGGAGCATGGTTTATTTCTACTCCCTCGTTAAAATAACCCACTTGGAGGAGTTTTTCGATCTGAAATTTTAAGAACGACCGTAAGACTAGATATGGTTATTCTTAAAAATTAAAATTTGATATTTGAGATAAAATTTGATATTTGAGTTTTTTAACTATTAGGTCTCACTCTCTAAAAATTGGACGGTTTATGCTCAATCTCGAGGGATATAATTAAAAAAAATTTATTTCCAAAAATTTGGGTTCTTAAACTTAATCCTGACTTGTGTTTTACTCGAGGGAGTAAAATATCTTTTGTCTTTGCTTAAAATTGTAGATTTGATATTTTGATGTTAGGGGCCGTTTTGACGGTCTACTTGGCATCTCATTCAAATATGATCCCTTAACTTTGGTACAAAGCGATCGTAATTAGCCATCATCGAATGTCAAATCCAACAATTTCAATATGTAAACAATTTTTACCTTCCAGTTTTAACCTCAATGGCACGCACATAGCAGCCCAATTTCAAATATGAAATCACCGCCACTTTCTTATCTCTTAAAGTAAGTAGTCATATTTCGTTTTGGCAAATGGCTTCATAGCAGCCCTATAAAAAACAATCACTTTTTAATGTTATTTTGAATGTGAATTTGCCATGGTATATTGCTCGTGATTTCAATATGATACGATGGCCGGATAAAATATTTTCTAATGCGTATTTGAATAGAACCGTGCGTTTATTCAATGATTTTATTGTTAGACACGAATTGTTGGATCTCCCTATAAATGGATCATTTTTCACTTGGTTTAATAATAATGTCTCGAACCTTATCATGAGTAAAATTGATAGGTCTTTTGTGTCGAAAGACTGGGAGACGTTATTTCCTTTGGCTAAAGTAAATGCTCTCAGTAAGTTCTCATCTGATCAAGTTTCGATTTGCTTAAGTACTGATGATAATCTTAAAGGCCCAAAGCCTCTTCGTTTTGACCTTGCATGGTTGGAAGAGGAAGGAGTGTTTGATATGATAAAGACGACATGGACCAATGCTATTGTCTTGGGTTCAACATTCATAAAAAACTTATGAGTGTGAAGCATATGCTAATCCGATGGAAAAAAATAAACTCACTTTTGCCTGCAAAATAAAATCAGGGATACTTTAATGTATTTGGAAGGAGTGGAGAGTGTGGTACAGAATGGAGGAGTACTAACGACTGCTTTAGAGGAATAAAAGAGTAAGCTTATGTTGACTTTACATGGCTTTTTGCGTTCAGAAAAAATATATTGGAGGCAAAAATCGAGGGTTAGATGGTTGAAAGAGGGTGATTCGAATACCAAGTTTTTTCATGCCATCGTGAATGCTCGGCATCATCAAAATGATGTGTTAAGTATTTGTCTTGAAGGGGTGGAGGATAATAAAAGTAATGAATGGGAGATGGAGTTTGTGAAGCATTTTCAAAAAGTCTTTACATAGGACTTACATATAAAGCCAAATTTGAATAGTTTAGGTTTTAAAGTGCTACTAAGGTCGGTTGATTTGTCTTTGAAAGGAATGGCATCAGAGGAGGAAATGAAAAGGCTATTTTTGCTTTGTCAGGGGATAAAGCCCCAGATCATGATGGATTTCTAGTGGTCTTCTTTCAAAAATTTTGGGATCTCACAAAACTAGATTTGATGTTTATGGTTAATGAATTTCTTTCCAAAGGAATAGTAAATAAAACCATAAACTCAACCTATATTGCTTTGATCCCAAAAAAGCAGGCTATAACAGGAATGTCGGATATCAGATCTATCGTTTTTCTGACTTGTCTGTATAAAATTTTAACAAAATTATTGGCTGATAGACTTATGGGAGTCCTTAATTTGGTCATTTCAGGAACACAATCAACCTTAATTGAAGGGAGAATTATCACAAATGGAGTCTTAATTGCACAAGAATGTGTTCATTCGAGAAAGTTGGAAAGAAAGCTAGCAGTATTGCTTAAATTAGATATGAAAAAGGCTTACGACTTGGTCGATTGGGATGTTTTGCTGGAGGCGTTGAGATGTATGGGTTTTGGGGGAAAATGGAGAAGGTGGATAAAAGGGTGCATTTCTTTAGCGTATATTCAGTGATGGTTAATGGAAGCCCGAAAGGCTTTTTTAAGGCCTCAAGGGGATTGAGGTAGGGAGACCCCCTTTCTCCGTTCTTGTTCACAATTGTTGCTGAAGTTATGAGTCTGATGATAAGGAATATAGAAGGGAGGGGAAGATTTTATGGATTTAAGGTATCTGAAACATCTCCTTTGACAGTGACTTAGCTGTAACATGCAGATGATACTTTGATATTTTGTGATGCAAAGGTGGATCAGATAATTAATATCAGAAGGTTCCTATGCTATTGTGAAGTGGTGCTCGGCTTTAAGGTCAAAAAACATCCTTGGTGGGGGTGGAGTGTTCGAATGTAATGCTAAAGCGGTCGGTTTTTCATTTGGGATGTAGAGTAGAGAAGTTTCCAATTAATTATCTTAGCATGCCAATCTCGGATGACAGAATGCCCAAGTCGGTGTGGGATCCGATTTTAAAAAGAGTAAACACAAAACTAGACTTGTAGAAAGTTAAGCATTTATCCATTGGGGGGAGAGTTACTCTAATTCTGTCATCAATGACAAATTTACCGATATACCAAATGTCCTATTTAGTAATGCCGAGTTCAGTGTCAAAAAAGATTCAACAGAAGATGAGTAACTTTTTATGCGGTTCGGGAGATTTTGGCAATAAATATCATTTGGTAAGTTGGGAGAGGATTTGCACACCAAAAAAAAAAGGTAATTTGGGAATTAAAAAACTCAAATATATGAATCAAGCGTTGCATTCAAAGTGGTGGTGGATATTAATGAGCCATGATGGGATGTTTTGGAAAGATATATTAATAGCCAAGTATAGTGTGGACCAGCATAATCTTTGGATAGGCAACGGGGGAATGGATGTTCTTAAATCACCGATATGGAAAGGAATTCTTCAAAACATGCTTTTTATGATTGGTGGTTGTAAATGGATTTTGGGTGATAGGAGAAATATATCTTTTTGGCATAGTAAGTGGGTGGGAGATTGTTGCTTAAAATCGGCATATCCGCTGGTTTTTGGGGCGACAAATCAACAAGATATTATGGCATCTCAGACATTTGATTGAGATGCAAATGTCTGGTCTTTAAACTGCAGGTATAACAGAGTTTCGGACTCAGTGATTGATCAATATACTTCGCTGCTTGGGGATATTCATAGGTTTACACCGCATAGAGAGAGGGAAGACAAGTTGGTTTGGGAGGCTGAGAATGACGTTATTTTTTCAGTTAAATCACCGTACAGTCTGTTGTTTCATGATAGGATTCAGTGGAGTAAGCCATTATTGCAGAAAATATGGTGTTGGAAGGTCCCTTTCAAAATTCAAATTTTCTTATGGATTTTGTACCAAAGAAAGTCACTTACTGTGGATAAGCTCATAAAAAGGGGCAGGATTATTACACATATTTGCATTCTTTGTAAGGAAAATGATGAGAATAGAGATCATCTTTTCCTTCATTGTCCTTTCTCTTCTCACATCTGGATATGGGTTTTTCAAAAAATTGGACATATGATGGTGGTGCCGAGTAGTCATATGAATATTTTGGGTAACATGGAGTTGGATTCTTTATCAATGGTGGGCAAGATGATTTGGGAGATGGTAAGAGTTGATGTTCTTTGGGAGATCTGGATGGAGCGCAATAGGAGGAAATTTGATAATAAAGTTCTGGAGGTGGAATTGGTTAAAAGAAAGATTCTACATTCGGTTTGGAGTTGGTTCTCTGTGACAAAAGAAGGGTTTGGAGTGACCAAAGTGGATGTTGAGATTAATTTTCATAATTTGATGCTTCAAAAAGTAATGAAAGACCAAAAGGTAGGTGGAGCTTACTTATGCTAGGGAGTATCAAACTTAACTTTGATAGAAGCTCATTAGGAAACCCAGGCCTATCTGGAGTTGGAGGAATTTTGCGAGATGTATTTGGAGAGGCGATCTTTTGTTTTGCTGGCCCTTGTGGGGAGGTAACGGCTAATGAAGCAGAATTGGTTGCGTTAGAGTGTGGAGTTCAGATTGGGAGTCAGAAGAATATCCGAAGACCACGTATTGTAGAAGGGGATTATTTGAATGTGATAAATTGGTGCAATAAGATATCCAGGCCACCATGGAGCTTGAGGAAGAAATGGCTAAATATTATGGATATGTATGAAGGTCTCCAAATCTCATTTCAGCATGTGTATAGGAAGGCTAATGACATTGTCGATGGATTGGCAAAACGAGGGGTGTCTATGCCGAATTTGTTTATTTCGGATGTTTTCCTTCTCTGATTGGATGTAACCTTTGACTGATTGATAAAGCTTTAGTAACATTGTCAAAAAAATAAAAAGTCTCACCTCATAATTCATTAAAACATATAAGTCAAGTGCATCAATCATCTTGGCTTGAACATGATAGTTGTGAAAACATAAAAGGATTTTAACTCTAAAAATCATGTATATTGTAACAAATTATCTAGACCATCCATTTTCACCCTAAAATTAAGCATTCATAGATCCACAAGATTTGCACCATTTTTTTAGTTTCAAAATTTATTATTGGTGTTGGAAATTGATTTAGAACCATCATGGAAACTTCTGTTACTTAGAGTGAGGTGACGCTTTATTTTGTTTTCATGAGGCCTAGGCTTTATAAAAACTTCATCCTATTGTCTATTCCCTCTAATGTCATGAGTGTTCATCTAATTTTATTTATTTATTTATTTATTTATTTGTATGTCAGCTTAACATCATAGAGTTACTCATCGCATTTATGATTCTTTTTGCGTGTCGATACACCAATAATGTGATACATGTGCATCACACCTAGAAACATTGACTCTTCTGAAGATTTCAATTCGAAATCACAATAGAAAAGTATTTAACGCTACT